AAGGGGGGTCGTTATTACGACAAGTATGGCAAAGACAAGTACGGCTACTACAAGGACGGAGGACTTAGTGGAAAAAAATACGGATCCGACCATTATGGAGGCAGAGGAAATAAAGGGGGGAAATTTGGAGGCGATTACTATAAAGATTATGGCCACAAGAAATACGGCTTCAAGAATGTCTACCATAAGGAAGAATTTGGCGACAAGAAATTGTATTACGATGACTATAAAGATAAGGACTACGGTAAGAAATACAAGGACTTCCACGACTATTATGATCATCATGCAGGTAAGAAATACAAGAAATATGATGACAAAAAATATCATGACAACAAGAAATACGGGGACGACTATCACAAATACGGAAAAGGCGGCTACGACAACTACTACGGTGGTGATCATAAAAATGGCGGCAAGTATTATAAGGACGGCTATGGTTACAAGCAAGGTGGAGGAGGATATAAGAAAGGAAGTTACAGTGGACATCAAACTGGTGGGCATGGTGGTGGCCACGGTGGCTATGGAGGTGGAGGACACGGTAAGGGTGGTTATGGCCATGGTTACGCTGGTACTAAAAACGTGTATTTAGTCTCAAAACATCCTGACGGCTATTCTAAGAGTCCTGCTGGATACAGAATAGTATATGACACGACCAAGCAATAAACTATTGTATTTTATTATGAATTATAATATGATAGCTGAAAAAATATTGAAGTAAAGTAGCTGAGTCCTTGACTGCGGTAATATAAAGTGGATAAGCAATTTATACAGTCCAACGAGTATCTTGAAGTTTCGCTTTTCTACTTAACATGTTTAGAACTTTACTTGAAATATCTGTGTGTCTGTGGAGTATTGAAATATGTTTTACTCTCGAAGATTCTCTAGCTATGAAACAAAGTCGTATTCTATTCTTAGCTGTATATTTGCAGTATAAGTTTTCGTATGGGACAAAGCATACTCTTATATTATAATTAGCTATAGGGATTTTTAAAAGCTGTCAGTGAAAACAACAAATTATGTGAAACAGTACAATTTGAGATTATGTGTAAACGTAAATAACTTAATGCTCGTTTTCAAACTGTCCGAATGCATAAAAACGTATAATGTATAGTTTCATTGGATGGTGTCTCAATAAAGATATTCTATAAAATGTCTTGTTTCTTTTCGTGCAACATAAAATGAAAGATTTAAGTGTTTTTATTAAAAATGTAACCGTGGATTGATTTATATATATCTCACAGTGAGTATCTTTATGAAAAACAAAAATCCAATTGTTATAAGATTTCTTAGACATGTTTTATCAACATGTTTTACTTAGCTTTTATCTTCCTTCTAGGCACCACTGATGATGGTCCACTTTAATAATTGATAATGTATAGAATATTTATTGGGTTACAACTCGCCATTATTTATTATTATATTTGATAAACATAAGCCTAGTATCAGCGTGGAATACAGCTGAGGATTCTAAAACATACAGAAATGACAACTTGCTTACGTATTTAAAATAAAAAACCCTGTCGAATTTTCCGGTCACATTTTATTTATGTATATTACAAACGTCAAGTACACCTTCTGTTGATGATTAATTGATTAGTTCATCAAACACGTCAATATACTATTTAATTGTTATTTATAGAATGTGAATTATATGTATAATTCTTCAGTCTAAGCTGAAGTATCAAAGATAAGTACTCTTCACCTCTTGAGGTTTTTATTCATTCCACCAAACATACTCCATCTGTCCAGTCAATACGATGTTGTGACGTTCTACGTCATGACCAACCCGTATTCATAATTGTAGTATATACATATTAGGTATTTTGGCAAACAGGCATTTATATAATTTTCTGGGATGTCATAATTATAGCTTGTTTAAAACATTGATCTTGGCAGCAGATGGTAGTTCCTGTGTCTTAGTTTTAAAGTAAAACTAACCAATTTAGCTTGTCTTGCAATTTTTTGTGAGAGAATTGAGTATCTACCTAGTGAGCCACTCTGATTTCTCGACCCTCTAATTTACCACTACTGCTACTCAAACTACCCATTATGTTCATAAAATTATGATAAATCTAATTCTGTCGTGATTTAATCAGATTTCCATCTTCTCAATGAGCAATAACCATGGTTTGGCCACGCGCTTTTGTTATCTTCTTCACTAATAATAATAAATAATATTCACTGATATTTACTGTGTCGATACCTCGGTTTATGTCCTATTATACTGTGTGATTATTTGTTTAGCTAACGATTAATTACTCGGTAAAAGTACGATAATATTAATATTTGATGAATATGTCTTAGATAACCTTGCCTGAATATATATGTAATCATAATCGTTCTAAAATCGGAGTTACTCTAATGTCATTAATTTAGGCTGAATTGATCTGATATATATATATATATAAGGTTGGTGCTGCACTGCCTGTTTAAACTATTTTTTAATTTCATTTACCCGAACTCATAAGTGTCCTGTTAACGGAATCTACCTAAACATAATATACAAACCAATACAATAGACATAGTAAAAAAAAAAAGACGTATTTCAAGACGTTTCACATTAAATTACTTAAATAGAAGTCACTCATGATACTCGGGGTTCAATAAAAGTGAAGTAATTATAAATATTTGTGTTAGGTTTGTGTATTTTTTTATTGATACTAGCTCCTTAATTTTTCTTTTGTGTACGTTTTGTTTTCCTAATTTATTACAGGGTTACGTTTTTCATGCATTTATTTACATGTGATTGTTCATTGCTGTGTTCACTAAATCTTGTGCCCTCTATTTGACTCAGCAGTAACTCTGAGGGCTTATAACGTTTAAGATCAGGTCTCGATACCTCGGATGGGCAGCCCACAAATAACCCATTGGGTAGCTAGTTTTGTGCTTAACAAACAATTTAAATCTTGTATCTTTAAACTTCTGCTAGTTTCACCAACATATATTGGTAAAAGAGTAGCCCAAGAGTTGGCGATGGGCGGTGATGACTAGGTGCCTTCCCTCTAGTATTTCACTGCTAAATTAGGGACGGCTAGCGCAGATAGCCCTCGTGTAGCTTTGCGCGAAATTCAAACCGATATCTTCCAATTTCATTATATAGATATAACAGAAAGATTATTTCACATTTGGTAATAAAATTGTCTTATGTTTGAATACACTAGATAAAAAATAGCTACATCTATATAAATGTCACTATTATTATAGCCCTCGTGTAGCTTTGCGCGAAATTCAAAACAAAACAAACCAAATCTACAAAACCAACAGTGCTAAAAATACGCAAAAGTCCGATTAACATTAGACCTATTGTCTCTGTTTGATACGTAAATCAGAAATAACTGAGAGATTCATATGAAATCTCAAAAAGAAAAAAAAAACCAGCTCTAAAAACCAGCTATGTAACTCCAATAATGTTATTGTTTCCACAAATACCACTTTCTGAAGCAATTAACGTCGCGATAGAGAAACTAAATCAAAACCATACCAATTATTTTGAATTCTTAGGAAGATTCTCTACAAAAAAATGGACTTAGCATTAGACCCTTCTATCACCCATACTACCAAACTTGTACATGATTTCTATAGAAACAAAAGTCATTTAAAAAACCTTATGCTCTTGATGGAGCCATGTTGATAATGTATTATGTAGTTTTACGTAACTAGAAAAACGAAACTACTTTTATAAATGCATTAATGCCTTTCTTCCCAAGTAAGTTTTACAAGTTAAAGAGAAAAAGAAGCAATAATAAACTTCCCAAATGAAATGATTACAGAACTTCACATCACATTCGACATAAGTACATAAAAAGACACAAAGCAGAATACACATTAAACGGAGAGCACTATATGACATCAACAAATTGCAACATTAGAAGTTTCATACAACATGGTTTTATTCTTTTGTCCGCCCAAAGAAATAGGATACGAAACATATGTCATTTGTTACAACGCTTAATGGCTTATATAAGTACTGTTCCGACCACTACTATGTTAGTTATATACCAGCCCACCTAATTGCGCAAATGGATGTGGTGAACATAATGTAGTTGGAATACTATTACTATATACTCTTCTAGTTCTTGAAAATCCCCTAAGGGATTGGTTTAAAAAATCAGGTGTTAAAAATGTAATAGACCTAATATCAGTGTCTTATGGCAAGTATAATCTTATCAAAATCACTTTAGGTGTGAAAAAAAGGTGCTCCAAAAAAAATGGATTCAGTGTGCGACTTAAAGGAATGAAATAAAAATTGGCAGACAAACTGATAGCTACACTTATAGCATTGGTAAGAATTTTATAGCAAATATTCATTGATTAGTTAGCCAGGCTGCGTTTTTTGTTCAACTTGGGACATGATGGTGGGTAAAACAAAATACGTGGCCTTGCAAACTAACGAATGACGCTCTTTAATTAGGATAATTTCATAAAATTTAGTAAATTTATGCTGAAAAGTTGGCAATCAATAATAACCGTTCACCGGTATGATTCTTTTGAAAACATGAGCTAGAAACTGTTAATCTAGTGTACTTGGCCTAATCAATATTTGAGTATCTTTGAGTATCTTCACCTCATAGCTTTGCTGCTCTAAATCAGCCGTCTTATTTCAAATGACAAAAAACTAAAAATGGTCCACTTTCATTCTTAGGTGAAGCTGTAGTAAAAATCTTAGACTGATAGCTCACGTGACTTTTTGCGTAGGCGAGCGCAAATATTAGGGTCAAATCTGAGCGATTTTTGTTGAATATCTTTGTTCATATGGCTTATATTAATACCAAATGAAACTCTAAATAGTAAATTGAAAAGATTTATCAGTATACAAACTTTGAAAAAAACCCATAAAAGTTAACTATGTATTTCTATCAAATAAAGTTTCCGTAATTTTGCTGGAAGAAAAAAAGAAAGAAGAAACCCAACAAAATTGGAGATGTTATATCTCAGGTATTTCTTAATAGATTGCCTTGAACGTTGGTATGTGAAGTAAGAGTCCAGTAGAGCACATCCTCTGAAAATATATGATAATTTGGATTACCACAGTCCAAGATACAGAAGGTGACGAATCGCCAAACTATCAAAGTGTTTCCTGCAGCAGGTTGTTTTGCCCGCATGACACACTACCGTGTGTCTTGATTCATTAGAAATCGAAATAAATATATTTCAACTTGCTTTAAAAGTTTAAGTAGTTGTCCAGAAAGCGTCACTGATAAACCATTACAAGAAGTAAGACAAAATATAACACACATACAAAGTGCACAAGATAATAAAGAAAGAGAAACAAAGTATCAAATAATAGGAGTTATCCCATACGTAGGAATCACAAGAAAACAGCTTATAAGAGTATGGAACAATCTCGTAAAAAAATAAAACGTTCATATTGAAGCAAAATTCCCGCAAAACCTGCCTGGATATAAAGGATTTACTTATAAATCTTACAATAACGCAAATGAATTTTTCAATCAAATCGACTGTGATAGTTATGTATATATATATATGTTGGTGTTGATGTAACACGTTTGTTTTAGTTTGTTTATTGAATTTCGTGCTAAGCTACCCGAGAGCTATCCGCGCAAGTCGCCCCTAATTTGAAAGTGATCGACTAGAGGACACTTAACTCACAAGAACAACATAAACACCCAATTCACCAAATACTCACCTGACCTCACAAGATAGTTACAGGACACTTAACTTACAAGAACAATATAAACACACAATCCACCAAGTACTCACCTAACATTACAAGATATGTTCAATACACTTAACTCACAAGTTAAACATAAACACAATCCACCAAGTACTCAAACCTAACATTACAAGATAGGTTCAAGACACTTAACTCACAAGAACAATACAAGCACACAATCCACCAAGTACTCACCTAACATTACAAGATATGTTCAATACACTTAACTCACAAGATCAACATAAACACAATCCACCAAGTACTCACCTAACATCACAAGATAGGTTCAAGACACTTAACTTACAAGTTAAACATAAACACAATCCACCAAGTACTCACCTAACATTACAAGATAGGTTCAAGACACTTAACTCACAAGAACAATATAAACACACAATCCCCCAAGTACTCACCTAACATTACAAGATAGGTTCAAGACACTTAAC